AAAAACTAAAATAAAAAACATAAACTTTTGTTAAAAAATCATTAATTAATACAAACTGCATTTCATTTCAAATTAGATAATGTTTTCACTTCTGATTTCACATTACGCTATCCCTGCGTTTAGATTATTTTTAATTCACAACTACATAAAAGTTGTACATTAACCTGTTGCTCTACACATTGCACAATTACAGTTAAAACAGACTCATTTTTCCAAAAATCCTTTTTTTAAAAATAATTAACAGTTAAGGAAGAAGGAACCACTTATATCTGTATCTTTCTGTCCAGGTTATGGTAATATAATCACTAACCCTTTGTCCAGACTGGTCTACCGCCACACAATCAACACTACCTGCATGACCACGACATGAGTGTACACAGTCTACCTCATTACTCTTCTCATCCCACTGCCATAGTAACACAGTCTGGTCATGTGACCCAGACATAAAACTTTGTTTATCACTAGAATCTGAAAAATGAAAAAAAAATATATCAGAGTTTACTATAAACATTTGTTACTTAAACACGCAGGCATTATTATGTAGTTCTAACAAACCATACCTCTTAAATCATTAATTGTTTGTTTGTCTGATTTTTCTGTTACATTTATTTTTTAACACATTTTTGTTAGATCTCAGCTGTCAATCCACCTAAAGGCCTCAACAGACGGTAGGATTTAGCTGTACAGCACTAATTAGAGATAAGATGTACAATTTTCAAAGCTATACAACACTTGCATTCAGACGGTAATTCTACACTGTAAGAATCATCTGAGGTTTCCCCTAAAAAGGATCCCTTTACATTGATCCTTTACATACTTTACTCACTAAATACTTTTTTCGCCATGAGTAATGATTGAAACACCTCCATTTAAAAATATATATATATATATTTTTTTAATGTGAAGCCTGACCGAGACTCAAACCTGGGACCCTCGGAATACCGTACTGCGGCTCTGCTGACTAAGCTATCTGGTCGCCTACAAACTACCTCCCCTCCCCTAATTAGAGAACAATTCAATACCGTGACATAATCATTTTCGGAATAATTTGGGATTCGAACATAACACAACTTTGGGTCTCCTGAAGAGTTTTTCAACATCATTTTTACCCCATCTTACTACTATGTTTACCTTTTAGCCCTAATTGTTCTGGAATTTCATTCATTACACCCATTATCAGGAGATAATTTGGTTATCTGTTACTTGTCATTGTGGGAGGTCTATAAAAATCGGTACGACAAGATTTTCAAAATAGAACATGTCCTATCCCTTACATCTTGACATAAGGTTTCCGAAATCAAGAAATAGTATCCTTCACACATTAAGATTTGTCTGTACATCTTAGTTTTAATTGGTGTTGTACTTCAAAATCCTACCGTCTGTTGAGGCCTTAACCAGCTTAACTCGACAACTAACCAGTAATTACCAATTTCTTTACAAGTGATCGACTACAAATCCTGCATGATTTCTGACTCAGTAGTGTGAGACAATGAACATTAGCCTTAATATCCAAACTCAGTTAAATTTCACCTTTAAGATTTAAATTGATAGTTGTCAAATAACAAGGCCTCAGAGTTTGTGCACCTAACCAGCTTTCCTGGATAACTAACCAGTAATGATCAATTTCTTTTCAAGTGGCCGACTTCTTATCCCACATTATTTCTGAATTAATGGTGAGACACAAATGATCATTTGACTCAATGTCTGAGATAAATTGTCACAGAGAAACCCCTTGATTAAAAATCTGACACTCTCCATAATGAGCTCAGCAAGCATTGAGCTCAGCAAGCATTGACATGACCATTACATAATGATATTTTGTAAGTAAAATAAAACAAGAAACTTTAGTTTATAATGTATAATTACCATTCTTAATCCAGGATACACATTTTACAGGTTGAGTATGACCAGGAATTGTTAATATAGAATCTCCCTTAGTTGTCCAAAGCCGTAGTGTGTTGTCATAGCAACCTGTTAGTATCCTAAAATATACACAATAGTGGGTAAAACTTAGCAACAAAAGAGTCATGACATTTCTTTGAAGCTCAATTTCCTTAACCACTATAATACTGAAACCATAACAACAACATTTTTGTCACAGATATAGAGCCATGTCAGTCTTCAAGATCACACACTAAACAGTTACACCAATCAACCATTGAAATTCTCAGCCCTATTTCTATAAAATAATACTAGTAATGGACTGTTTCAAAATGCACAAGTTCATTTTAAGATTAATTCATTTGCATCCTAATTCTCAGGATCATTATTCCATTATGACTGACTGATACATGAATATGACATTCAATGTAAAAACCGACTGTGATAAGTAAAATCTATATCCTCTCCCTTTTTTCTATGTAAACAAGAGGCTTGACGCTAAACCTTAACCAAGAGCTATGCTAAAGCCAGATATAGATTGACACACACGTCCTTGTTCTCCATTAAGTTGAGCAAAAACAGTTTTTAAGGATGAACCTGTAATATTTTGTGTATATTTACTTATTTCCTGTTGAGTGTACACAGCTGACCCAGTCATCATGGTTCAGAGAATCTTCTGGTCTTGGTGCTGGATGTCTCTCTACATACTCTATCTCTACTACACTTTCCTGTATACATTAAGTATATATACAACAGTATTTCATACTTGTCTTTTGATTAAAGTCACACATATAAGAAAGTTAGACTATTTTTTTAAAGGTTATAGGAAACTAAAGTTTTTTTCTAGTTTTAATGGAACAGGAAATTGATAATCCTGAATCTAATTACATTTGTAGTGACCAGTGATTTTTCTACTTATAACAGACTCCGAAAAAAGGCCTCTTCCCAAATGAAATTTTCTTTAAAATCATGCAGTTTTCCCAAAAATCTGAACTTAAACCAGCTTTTTTACTTCCAAATCAGCAATTTGAGCAATAATTTTTCCCAAAATCAAGAGGCTAAGGCCTCTTCCCAATAAAGTGAGAAAAATCACTGGACTGAATTATTTGAGAGATTTAAGGCCAATTGTAGAAAGTTAGAAAAATTGTTCTTTGCGTAATTGTGGGATCTTCAAAGCAATAAACAGTATCTAAACATAACATGTTAATTGCATTTATTATTAAATCATATGTTAACTGCATATTGAACCAGAAGGATTTTAAAATTTAAATTTAGATATTGTAGACTGGCCTAAATCTATACTACTGATACATTGACTCTGCCAGTATCTTTATGGTTAAATTATAACAAAGAAAACTTACTGTGGATATATTTTTCTGCTCAAGATGTTTTTCTAAAGAAATTCGTAGAAATTCTCCTTCCACAAGAAAATCAAACTCTAAATTTGTCTCAGTCTCAAGAGGTTCTGTAAGAGAGATAACAACAAATTTACTTAAATTGTTCTGTTTTACTTATACATGTACATGTAATTCAAATAAAATGCTTAAGTTGTCTCAGAAGTAAAGTAAATAAACCCTGCCAAAGATAATGTTTTAAATGTTTACTACCAATTTAAACAGTAAAGACTGAAGAATCTGTGAAAACATATGAGTGACCTTATCACAACATCCCTTCTCCCATTAAAGGGGCCTTCAGCTTTTATTTATTGACGGAAAAACAATTCTGTATTGTTTCAAACTTATTAGTATTTAAGTAATTTTATCTTGGAAAAGTAGATCATATCACTGCTAGGTCTTCTTCAAAACAGCGTCATCCCCCCACCCCTGAGAGCAATTTATAGGGCGCCAGTGACATTTGTTCTTAAAATAGAAGATTGGAAAACAATTTGTCTGCTTTACTTATTTACAGATAGAGAGCGCACCTGTAGATTAGAGGTATAAAGTATGGTACTGCTACAACTTTAGTACCATGATCAGAGTTTTATATAATTATATACTCAAGTCTGCCATGTAGCCAATTTTTTTTAAATTAATACTTGTACATGTAATCAAATCTTGTTATTTAAACTGCCTTTTTATTGCTTTTAAAATGTTATTCCTTACTACATCTTCATAAAAATGTAAAAATTAATAGTTTTAAACAAATTAGAAAAGAATATTAAATAATATTGTATTACAGAAGATTTTACATACACACTATATGTCAGATTATTTTATAAAAGGAAGTTACCAGAGATGAGTCCATTGATAAGAGAGCTAAGATCATCTGTTTGAACTGTAGCTGGTACTGAAAATGGTGTATCCGGCACAGAATATCTGAAGATAAAAATATACAAAGTACTGAATATTGAAATTGTTTTTGAGTTTTGAGATGTTAAACTTTAAGATTCTTCTCATTCTTTTTATTCTCAAATAATATATGCCCCTCCCTAAATGAACACTCCCTCCTTTTGACAAAGAAAAAGCGCAGTTAGATAATTAAATATCCAGTTCATGAAAAATTTCAATACAATATTCAACAAGAGTCATGATACCCGAAATCGCTCACCTGAATAGCACCTTGGTAGACACTCATTAGAAAATGTTTCATGCCAATTATCTAAGCTCTTGCCGATTAGGTTTTTTTAAAAGAAGATTTTTTTTCTTTTGGTTGCCATGGCAACAAGAGTTCTGCATGGAATTAAATTCTTTAAAAAAATTAAAGATGACAACCAAAGGAACATTCCTGTGAAATTTGGATGAAATTGGCTTCGCGGTTTATGAGGAAATATTGTATAAAGTAAAAGTTTATGGCTGGACGTGCTGTACAAAAAGCGACCACAAAAGCTCACCATGTCACTTTATGATAGGTGAGCTAAAAAGGGGAAAACAATAATATTCTAAATGACCATATTATATAAAGCTAAAGGCTACTAAAACACAATTCAACTGACCCCAAATTTCATTAACCTTTTAAAATAGAAAAAATTTTCATACATGTAAAGGTAATTCTTATTGGAGATCAATTTTAAGGTTTAAACATACATGCCATAATTTCCAAAAAAATTTCATTTAGTGTTGGAGGGGGGCATAGCTCAGCAACCACATTGTTTCTAAATTTACATAGTGGCATTCAACCTATATTACCAGTATTTACAACTTGCAAATTAAATGACAACATAAACAAGACATAAGGGCCATCAGTAATGGCATGTGTCGCCTCATAATAGCCAATCGCATGTTACAGCTTCTGTGTAGCAGGAGACCCAAAAATCATTAACAGGGCAAAACACTATTTTTATTCAAGGGCAATAACTCAGCAGAAAATTATTCAAGCAAAAAACTTGAGTATTATGCACAAGTATTTGACCAACCAATCAATCCTGTAAAGTTTCACTGAAAGTGCATTAATGATATAAGGGTAGTCCTGACAAATTTTATTAACAGCCCTTTAAAAATTAATTAAAGGGCCATAACTCCAACAAAATTCATTGAACCATTAAAAGCCAATAATATGCACAACTAAACTTGGTACTGATCATTCCTGTAAAGTTTGGATGAAATTGCACCAGTTGTTTTTGAGAAGTAGTCCGGACAAGCTTTTGTGGATCTGGCAAACACACAAGAAAAACCACCTTTTTCATAAAGGGCCATAACTGGACCAAAAATCATTCAACCGAAAAACCCGTGCAATATGCCAAAGGACTTGAGCTACAGATCAATCCTGTAAAGTTTCATTGAAATTGTATTTGTGCTATAAGAGGAGTAGTCTAGACAAACTTTGACAAAAATTATTGAACTGGAAAATGCTGACGATATGTAAATCTAGACTTTGTAATGATCATTCCTTTAAAGTTTGAATTACATTGCACCAGGAGTTTATAAGATGTGTCAGTGTTTTTTTACACTTTTGGGGGGAGGGGGTCGGTGTCCTTTGGAGGGGGAAAAATGCAATAGGAGGAAGAATTTTATTTGTTTACTTATTTTATATTGTTTTCTTTGCAGTGGAAAAGGGGAGCAACTCTTGCAACACAAGTTTAAAATACGTCTCTTTTTCTTACATATAAGGATCTAAAATAACGATGTGTCGCATGCTAAACTTGTTGGGACACCGGGAGTAGCTACCTACCAGAGAAGGTTTGTAAACAACCTTGCTTAACAGTAACTCTTACAGGCATTTAATAAAACATTTTTCGGCAGTTAGTTGCAAAAAAAATTATATTTATTTCAGGCAAATTTGGGCTGCCATATAGGGGGAAAGTTAGGCTCTGAGGGGGGAAAAAAACATACTATTTTCAGGGGGGGAATGGAGCCGAATTTCGCCGAATATTTTAGTGAAAAAAAACACTGTTTGTTGACAAGTCTACTCCGTAGAGGCGACACAAAAATGTCTATAACTATTAAATAACAGTTTTTCAATCTTTTTAAAGTATTAAGGCTTCGTAAATTCAATCAGTCACAGAATAGAATAAGCTAATGTTAAGTTAGGACAATTAGCCATGTCCTTTGATAAAATACCTCAAAACATTTGCCGAATCCTATAGACTTCATCATCTCATATTTAGCAGTAATTTGAGCACTATTAATTGCCTGCTGGCAGATTCAATTTATGCTGGCCAGTTGTTAATTATAGTTTATGACACCTTCACTCAGGAAGCAACAGGGGGTAAACAATTAATCTTTTAAATGATCAAAATATTTGCTGATAACTGTTAGTTGAAAGAGGCACATAGATGTACCAAGCAAAGGATTAGTGTTATTATTCAGGCCTGAAAAAACAAGAGCCATGTCAACATGGCCATCCCCCGCCGAATGTGTTTGCTCATTGGAAGAATGTATATGTAGTAGAGCGGAATAGTTCCATTTTAAGAGGTCTTTTGGTAATGAAAACTGATGGCTATAATGATTACAGATTTGAAACCTATGTGAATACTGATGGCTGAAAATAACAAAGGGCAATTACTGAAAAATAATGCAGGGTAGGTTATCATTCTTGTGTGCTGCATCCCTCCTCAGTAAAATCTATCCACCTATGAAGTTTCAAGTTGATACCTCAAATACTTTTTGAGAAAAAAATTGAATTGAAAAATTAAGTATGAAAAAGAACAAAGGGCAATAACTCCAAAATTATAAAAGGTAGAGTTATCATTCTTGTGCAGTGCACACCTCCTGAGTGAGATCTATGCACCTATGAAGTTTCATTTTGATATCTCAAAGGCTTTTTGAGTTATGCTCTGGACAAAAATTAATTTTGAAAAATAACAAAGGACAATAACTCAAAAATAATGCAGGGTAGAGTTATCATTCTTAAGCACTGCACTCCTCCTCAATGAGATCCATCCACCTTTGAAGTTTCAAGTTGATACCTCAAATACTTTTTGAGATAAGCTCTGGACAAAATAACATAAAAAAAACAAAGGGCAATAACTCAAAAATTGTATAGGGAAGAGTTATCATTCTTGCACACAACACTCCTCCTCAATAAGATCTATCCACCTATGACATTTCATGTTGATATCTCAAACACTTTTCGAGTTATGCTCCACTCAGGTAAAAAATTAGGTATGAAAAATAACAAAGGGCAATAACTCAAAAATTATGAAAGGTAGAGTTATCATTCTTGTGCACTGCACACCTCCTGAGTGAGATCTATGCACCTATGAAGTTTCATGTTAATATCTCATAAGCTTTTGGAGTTATGCTCTGGACAAAAATCAATTTTGAAAAATAACAAAGGGCAATAACTCAAAAATCATGCAAGGTAGAGTTATCATTCTTGTGCACTGCACTCTTCCTCAATGAGGTCTATCCACCTATGAAGTTTCAAGTTGATACCTCAAATACTTTTAGAGATATGCTCCGGACAAAAATGTCGGACGGAAGGACGGACGGACGGACGGAAGCTCGGACGGACGGAGACTATTTCTATATCCTCCGCCGAAATTTTTCGGCGGGGGATAATAAATTGTGTTGTTAGGGTAACATGCTCTCCAAGAATAGGTAGGGTAGGTTAGATAGGTAGGATTTTTTTTTTTTGAGTCATGTTCAATTCTGAACATCTTAATCCAGAGAAAATTTTCATGCCCTGATTTGTACGGTATTCAGTGTTCAATCTAGAACAAATTCCCAGGGGGCCCTTCGGGCCAAAAAACTTTTCAAAAGGGGGTCATTTGAGAAAAAAGGGGGCCCACACTTAAAATGATTACTCTTCGAATGAAGATAAAGTTGAATAGTATTCGGATTAGTGTTTAAATTTCGGCTATAAGCAAATAATGAGTAAATAATTCAGAATAGATATTTCTTAATGTTCAAAAGGAGATTGGTTCAAAAGAATAAATTGTCGTTTAGACAACATCACATAAAGTATTTCTCCAAGCATTAGTACGACAGCATTGATGATAATTCTGCGAGCGTTACCCCACCCACTTGTGGTATATAGTGACAAAATTGCGTCGCGACTTGATTACTGGCAGACAACTGGGCAAAGAAGTTTAAAATGATATATTTTAAAAGTGTTGAATAAGAAAACAAAATTAATATCCAAGAAATGTTCAGAATTTCATTATTTTCTTTGTAAATTTCTGAATACTTGCTTACTGTTCGGGGATGTTAGTCGAGTGAAGAAAATAATATGGCCCTAGATATGTTTTAAAGAAATATTCAGTATCATTTATAATATAACATCAAAAGAAAAAGAAATTCTCATTACAATATGTTTTATATTTGACAATACATTTAATATAACACTGATATTTCTTAAGAAAGCGTGCGTGGTAATTTTGACAGTTGACATATGCGGTAACCATGGAAACTGCCCGTTTACAAAAAAACTAACACTTCAACATATATATTTTATTTCTAATCAAATGTTACTTGATATATCAATAATGTAGAAAATTCTGTAAAAGAAATTTCTTGATAGCTTTAATTTTTTACAGAAAATTTTCATGTTTATTTTTCTCATTTTTTGTTTAGTTAAAAAGCATGAAAACTCATTTTTTAAAGAAATATGTCCAAATTATCGTTTGTTTTTATACAGAACCCTAAGATAAAGCAAGCTTTGTTTGAAATTATGTTTATTGTGAGTGTAATAAGCTATTTTATTCATTATTATAATACAGTTTGGATATTTTGACAATTTTGAGATATACGGTTACCATGGAAACTGCCATTTTTCAAAAAATCCAACACGCCAACATATATTTTTCTTTTTCTTTTTGAATTTGTCATTAAATTTTACACAATATACAAAAAAATTAGAAAATTCTATGAAAACACTTTTTTCAATATCTCTAATTATTCTGAGAATTCATGTTTCATTTTTCTCATTTTTATGT